TGTGGGTGGTAGTGGAACCCCATACCCATCCTGTGGGTGGTAGTGGACCCCATTCCCATCCTGTGGGTGGTAGCGGACCCTATACCCATCCTGTGGAAGGACGTGGGCCCCATACCAACCCTGTGGGCAGTATTGGACCCCATACCAATCCTGTGGGCGGTATTGGACCCCATACCCATCATGTGGGTGGTAGGGACCCCATAGCCATCTTGTAGGCAGTAGTGGATCCCATACCCATCCTGTGGGCGGTAGTGTACCCCATACCAATCCTGTAGGCGGTAGTGGACACCATGCCCATCCTGTGGGTAGTAGTGACCCCATACCCAGGAATGGGTAGTGTCTCCCAAGGTCTGGGTTTTCTCTCTCACAAAGTGAGGGTTGAGGCTCTCACAAGGAGTGGGCTGTGTTTCTCACTATGTGTGGGTTGTGTCTCACAAAGTCTAGGTTGTGTTTCACAAGGTATGGGTTGTGTCTCACTAGGTGTGGGATATGTCTCTTATAAGGTGTGGGGTTGTGTCTCTGACAAGGTGTGGGATGTTTCTCTCACAAGGTGTGGGTTGTGCCTCTGACAAGGTGTGGGATGTTTCTCTCACAAGGTGTGGGTTGTATTTCACAAGGTCTGGGTTGTTTCTCACAAGGTGTGGGTTAAGTCTCTCACAAGGTCTCTGTTATCTCTCACAAGGTGTGGGTTGTGTCTCACAAGGTTTGGGTTGGTTGTATGACCAGGTGTCGGTTGTGTCTCTCACAAGGTGTAGGTTGTGTCTCTCACAAGGTGTGAGTTGCGTCTCTCACATAGTGTGGGTTGTGTATCTCATAAGGTGTTCGTTGTGTCTCTCACAAGGTGTGGGTTGTGTCTCTCACATTGTGGAGGTTGTGTCTCTCACAAAGTGTGAATTGTGTTTCTCAAAAAGTCTGTGGGTTGTGTCTCTCACAAGGTGTGGGTTGTGTTTCTCACATGGTGGGGTTTATGTCTCTCACATGATGGGGGCTGTGTCTCTCACATGGTGTTGGTTGTGTCTCTCTCATAAGGAATTGATTGTTTCTCACAACGTGTGGGTTGCGTCTCACACAAGGAATGGGTTGCTTCGTTCACAATGTGTGGAGTGTCTAACAACGTGTGAGTTGAGTCTCACAAAGTGGAGGTTGGGTCTCACAAGGTGTGGGTTTTGTCTCTCACAAGATGTTGGTTGTTTCTCACAAGGTGTGGCTTGTGTGTCTCACAAGGTGTGGGTTGTGTCTCACAATGTGTAGCTTATTTCTCACAAGGTGCGGGTTGTGTCTCTCACAAGGTGTGCGTTGTTTACTAGTTGTGGTTTTGCGGGGGTTGAGCTTTGCTCTTTCGGCCCGCCTCTCAACTGTCAATCAACTGTTTGCTAACTTCTTTTTTTTTCCACACCACACACACACCCCCCAGGAAGCAGCCCGTGACAGCTGACTAACTCCCAGGTACCTATTTACTGCTAGGTAACAGGGGCACTTAGGGTGAAAGAAACTTTGCCCATTTGTTTCTGCCTCGTGCGGGAATCGAACCCGCGCCACAGAATTACGAGTCCTGCGCGCTATCCACCAGGCTACGAGGCCCCTTGTGTCTCTCACAAGGTGTGAGTTGTGTCTCTCACAAGGTGTTGGTTCTGTCTCTCACAACGTATAAGGATGTGCTTCTCACAAAGTGTGGATTGTGTCTATCACAAGGCGTTGGTTGTATCTCTCATAAAATGTAAGGATGTGTTTCTCACAAGGTGTGGTTTGTGTCTCTAACAAGGTGTAGGTTTAGTCTCTAGAGGTATGGGTTGTGTCTCACAAGGTGAGGGTTGTGTCTCACAAGGTGGGGGTTGTGTCTCACAAGGTGAGGGTTGTGTCTCACAAGGTGAGGGTTGTGTCTCACAAGGTGAGGGTTGTGTCTCACAAGGTGGGGGTTGTGTCACTCAAAGGTATAGGTTGTGTCTCTCACCAGTTGTGGACTGTGTCTGTAACAAGGTGTGGGTTGTGTCTCCCACAAGGTGTGGGTTGTGTCACTCAAAAAGTGTAGGTTGTGTCTCTCACAAGGTGTGGGTTGTGTCTCTCAAAGGGGGTATTGATTGAGTCTCAGAAAGTGTGGTTGTGTCTCACACAAGGTGTGGGTTGTTTCTCTCACAAGGTGTGAGTTGTGTCTCTCACAAAGTGTGGGTTGTGTCTCTCACAAATTGTGGGATGTGTTTCTCACAAGGTGTGGGTTGTGTCTCTCAAAAGATGTGGGATGTGTCTCTCACAAGGTGTGGGTTGTGTCTCACAAGGTGTGGATTGTCTCTCACAAGGTGTGGGTTGTGTCTCTCACTAGGTGTGGGTTGTGTCTCTCACAAGGTGTATGTTGTGTCTCTCACAAAGTGTGGGTTGTGTCTCTCACAAAGTGTGGGTTGTGTCTCTCACAAAGTGTGGGTTGTGTCTCTCACAAAGTGTGGGTTGTGTCTCTCACAAGGTTTGGGTTTTGTCTCTCACAAGGTGTGGATTGTGTCTCTCACTAGGTGAGAGTTGTGTCTCACAAGGTCTGGGTTGAGTCTCAAAATGTGTGGGTTGTGTCTCACAAGGTGTGGGTTGTGTCTCTTAAAATGTTTGCGTTGTGTCTCACAAAGTGTGGGTTGAGTCTCTTTCAAGGTGTGGGATGTGTCTCTCACAAGGTGTGGATAGTTTCTCATAAGGTGTGGGTTGTGTCTCTCACAAGGTAGGGGTTGTGTTTTTCACAAGGTATTGGTTGTGTCTCTCACAAGGTATTGGTTGTGTCTCTCGCAAGGTGTGGGTTATGTCTCTCAAAGTGTGGGTTGTGTCTCTCACAAGGTGTGGGTTGTGTCTCACAAGGTGTGGGTTTTGTCTCTCAAGGTGTGGGTTGTGTCTCTCGCACGGTGTGGGTTGTGTCTCTCAAGGTGTGGGTTGTGTCTCACACAAGGTGTGGGTAGTGTCTCACAAGGTGTGGGTTTTGTGTCTCAAGGTGTGGTTTGTGTCTCTCACAAGGTGTGGGTTGTGTCTCTCACAAGGTTTGAATAGTGTCTCACAAGGTGTGGGTTCGGTCCCACACAAAGTATGGGTTGTGTCTCTCACAAGGTATTTGTTGTGTCTCACAAGGTGTGAGTTGAGTCTTGCACAAGGGGTGGGCTGTGTCTCTCACAGAGTGTGAGTTGTGTCTCTCAAATTGTGTGGGTGGTGTCTTTCACAACTACTGTGGGTTGTGTCTCTCATAAGGTGCGGATTGTGACTCACAAGATGTGAGTTGTGTCTCTCACAAGGTGTGGGTTCTGTCTCACAAGGTGTGGGTAGTGTTTCACAAGGTGTGGGTTTTGTGTCTCAAGGTGTGGGTTCTGTCTCTCACAAGGTGTGTGTTGTGACTCTCAATGCACCCAGGTCGCACCCACGCATGTGCCTTCATTCCAATCGTATCGAAGTTTACTATGTGCAAAAAATTTGACTGTTTAAACTGCTCTGACCCTTCCATGGGGTGGGTATGGGGGTACGTAATAAAGGAGACATTGAATCACCCTCACCTGAGAGCAGCGCGGCGGGGGGGGGGGGAGGAACACACGGTTGCACACGCCCCCTCCCACCCTGAGCGCATCAATTACGCTCACCTACCACGGACATCCGTCATCCATCATCCATTCTCAGAATTTAAGGGACTCAGTCTTCCTATTCTCAGAATGGCGAGCCGGTCGGCCTAGCGGACAGCACACTGGGCACGTGATCCTGTGGTCCCGGGTTCGATCCAGGGCGCTGGCGAGAATCAATGAGCAGAGTTTCTTTAACCCTATGCCCTGTTACCTAGCAGTAAAATAGGTACCTGGGAGTAAGTCAGCTGTCACGGGCTGCTTCCTGGGGGTGGAGGCCTGGTCGAGGACCGAGCCGCGGGAACACTAAAGCCCCGAAATCATCTCAAGAATAACCTCAAGATAACCCCGTTTTCCTATTCTCAGAATGGAGGGGACCCTTGTCGACGTCCATCTCAAGGTAACAGGTAACCCACACACAGCTCGCGCATACACCTTCACAATTAGCAGGCGATTAATGATGCTCATCTGTCATCCATCTCCTCTGATGGAGGGTACGGCCTACGTCCCCGAGGGGGAGGGTACGGCCTACGTCCCCGAGGGGGAGGGTTAACCAGAAACTGCTCCCCCAGGTCCCGCAGTTATCAACCCTCACCCGTCAGTCATCAATCTGTCATCCTCCTCCGCTGATGGATGGGACAGTCTACGTCCTACTTTCCCCTTCTACCGACCACCCTCTCTACAATCATAGCTAAGCAAGTCTCATTGCAGGGCTTGCTCCTCCTGCTTTCAGCATGTATTCACCGGTGTTGTCTCTCCAACTGTTTAATAATCCGTCTGATCTACCATATAAGAGTTCACTGTTATGTGATATGTTAATTACTGCATCGCTAAACACAGATATTCATTCACTCATATTCTCTTCTTAACTGTGATGTAGCCTGTTTATTCCTACCAATTTAATAGAAAACACTGGAGTTTCCCAGCTCATAACCGATGAGACGACACTGTGACATAAGTGTGTGTCGTGACATAAGTGTAGAACACTTATGTACATTTGTTCATAGGTGTAGAACACTTATGTAGATCTGTTCATAAGTGTAGAACACTTATGTAGATCTGTTCATAAGTGTAGAACACTTATGTAGATTTGTTCATAAGTGTAGAACACTTATGTAGATTTGTTCATAAGTGTAGAACACTTATGTAGATTTGTTCATAAGTGTAGAACACTTATGTAGATTTGTTCATAAGTGTAGAACACTTATGTAGATTTGTTCATAAGTGTAGAATGTTGTGATGTAAGTGTTGTGAAATAAGTGTTGTGTATTATGGCATAAGTACTCACCTAGTTCTGCTTGTGAGGGTTGAGCTTTGGCTCTTTGGTCAAAGCTCTTGAAAAAAGTTATTTTTGGCTCCTGAAAAAGTGTGGTGTACTGTGCGATACAAGTGCGGTGCTGTGTTCTAGACCAAAACTGTGGTTTTTACCTTCATAATCGGTAGCGTTGACGTCAGCATGCAGCATGATGAGTGTGTCGGCCACCTCCCTCCGGCCTGCCCTGGCTGCCACATGTAGAGGAGTGTTGTGAGCAATCATGTGACCATTAACATCAGCCCCAGCCTGCACCAGGATCTTCACCAGGTCACTGTGTCCATAACTGGCCGCCATATACAGGGGAGAGTCTCCTGTCAACACATTACCACGACTATTACAGATGTTTTTCCCGTCACCAAAAATGTTTCATGAAACTGTAAAAATTAATACTCTTACACCCTCAAAAGTGTAATTATACCCCATAAATTATTACTATGAAAAATAAGAATGTAATTAAAAAATTTCTTTACCAAGTTCAAGATGAGAGAAACTGTTGCAACTGAGATTTATACAAACAAACAATTATATACATCCTACTTCTCATATTCACATCTGACCATATTTGATTTAGATAAAACAACATAGTTACTAGTGGAGCCGGTCGGCCGAGCGGACAGCATGCTGGACTTGTGATCCTGTGGACCTGGGTTCGATCCCAGGCGCCGGCGAGAAACAATGGACAGTTTCTTTCACCCTATGCCCCTGTTACCTAGCAGTAAAATAGGTACCTGGGTGGCCGCGGGGACACTAAAAGCCCCGAAATCATCTCAAGATAACCATGAACATATTAATACTATATCGTAAAATAAATACAAAAAATTACAAAAATATAATAAAAATGATGACCACTGTATGAACAATACATCACCAAACATATTATCTAACCATATTAGCATGAGACGTGAGCAGATCATTGAAAAGAATTATCCCTTCAACAAACTACCTAGCAAAGTAAATATTCAATGTTTTAAGCTGGGAGATTAGTTCAACCCTTACAACATATCAACACTACACCTGAAGGTTGTCTTGAAGGACAATCAGGAACGCCTGGGCTGGAAGGCCACTAGGTCCAATAATTTCAGTGCTTCTGGACGACCAAGGCATACGTGGGATAAGGAACTTGCTCTAAATGGACATCAGAAGTATAATACTCATACTCATAATACTGAACCATTGCAAATTGGTTCATTTGGAGCCTGGCATTCACGTCTCCACAACGCAACATACAAAGACGGAGACTCCAGAACGACCCATAAAGAGTTCCCTCACAAATATACTGAAAAAATCGCAAACTATTACATGAAGTATTTATTTACCCTCAATCACAAAAATAATTTATACAACTACAGAATCATAAAAGTCAAACCCAGCCTAGTAGGTGATATGACCAATAGGGAGTAAGCTTTTGGCAAAAGTACTCGCTGTAGGATCACTCGTTTTTGGGTGAAATTGTGGTCGGAAGACGTTTATCTTGGGATAATGTTAATAATGAGTGTTTCGTGCGTCTGGTAACGCCGTACATTAGTTCTTTGACTGGGTTCTAGATGTTTATAGTTGTAATTTCGTAACAATTCACTGAATTTTGATGAGATTTAAAATCATTGTATTTTAGACGTGGTAAGAGAAAATGACATAGTTTTAGGGCTTCAGCTCCTGACAACGTCCTTAGTTTCTTTTATATTTTTGTTAATATACGATGAATTTAAATCAAGTTAAAAACATAAGTACTTCTAACCTTTAGAGTGTAATACCAACAACCATTATATATCGGCAAACAAATGTGTATGCACAATTAGGTATGAACCCACGATCCTCCACATCCACCTTATTACAACCCCCCTCCTTCCCCTGAGAGTCCACCTACCCACAACCACTCCCTTTAAAGCTGTCTTCTCCTCCAACATTCCAATCTACTATGAAAGACCACAATCCACGTGCTCTGCCCATGTACGCGTGCGTGCCAACCTCCTTTCCACCTGCGTATACATATATTCCTCTCCCCTTTCCATCCCATGCTTCTCTCCCCCCCTTCCCTCCCTCCTCTCCACTTACTTTCCTTAGAGTTCGCTCTTCTCAGAGAGAGTTCCATTCTACTCCACTTAGAAACCCTACCACTCCCAACCTTCCCCCCCATACACTTCATCCCAGAGTTTCCCTCCACCAACTCTTTCAACACATCCTCCCATCGGCCTGTCCTGTCATACATTCTATCCTCTACCCAGCTCCTCCACCAAGCCCGCCCACGTGCACATGCCCCCATGCACAAACTCTGCTCTTAAACATCTCCCCTCCCCATTACAGCCTGAGGAGGGGAGTTTTACATGTTTTTTTACACTTTTTTTTTACATTTAAGTTGAAACTTTGATTTGTTCTAATGTTATTGGTTCCCAAATAACGTGCACTCCTGATCTATTTGACTTTATAAATCATTTAATAAAGAACAGCTTAGGGGAAATAGCCTCGTCTTTTGAACAGTCATGGTTAGTCAAGTGATTAAGGTAACAGATACCTAAGTTGCAAAGTGCTCCTGGCTGTGTATATATATATATATATATATATATATATATATATATATATATATATATATATATATATATATATATATATATATATATATATATATATATATACATATATTATTAAATATGACCGAAAAAGTAAGATTAATAATTCTAACACGAATTTTCTCAATCTTTCGTACATTTCTTTTCACTGTTGGAGGTAATTCAAAAATCAATTCTCCAAAATTCATTTTTATTTCTAGTCTGACGCGACACGAGCGGAGCGGAAAAGAGCGGAGATTTCCACACTGCAGTCTACACTAAGGAAACGAACATAGGAATGTGCCTAAATGCCAACAGCGACTACCCAGACAGGTACAAGAGGAGTGTTGTTAACGCATATGTCGACCGTGCTCTCAGCCACAGCTCAGAATGGAAGCAAGTCGACGAAGAACTCTGTAGGGTAAGGCAGGTCCTAGTCAACAACGGCTTCTCCAATGGTTTCGTCGAAGACATCATAAGAAGGAAAGTGAAACGCCATGCAACCTCTGAAGAGACAAGTAACAGAACACCTATACCCCCTATTAGACTATTTTACAGGAACTTCTTTTCCACAGCTCATAAAACGGAGGAAAGGGTCTGAAAGATATTGTTAACAGAAACGTTATCCCTACAGACAAAAATCAGAGGATACAACTGACGATTTACTATAAAACCAGAAAAACGGCCAGCCTACTCATCAGAAACTCTCCAGACACAAAGCAGAACGCTTTAAAAGAGACCAACGTCGTCTATGCCTTCAAATGCCCACTTGGGGACTGTAAGCTCCAAAAAATCCAGTATATAGGCAAGACAACAACATCTCTTTTTAGGCGTTTGAACGATGCATAAACAACCGGGCTGCATTAAGGAACATATAATCTCTTCCCACAACCAAACCATCGCCAGAGAAATCCTAGTAAACAACACAGAAATCATCGATAGATACAGCGATAGCAGACAGCTTGACGTTTGCGAGGCACTGCACATTAAGAAGTCAACACCAGCAATCAACAGCCAATTAATGCACAACTATATTCTACCCACCTCAAGACTCCGCTCCAATATAGAAGCATCAAGAAATATGGACCAATAGGCTTTCTACAATCACTTCCATTTCAATACCCATTGTTTCGTGTTCTGTCTTGTGTTGATGAAATTAATACCCTATTAATGCCACCTCTTGTTCTGTCTTGTGTTGATGCAATTAATACCCTATTAATGCCACCTCACCCCATCCACCTCACTCAAATGTAGATATAAACGAAATCGGAGATGCGTAAGTTCTATTCAGTTGTGTATTTGTAAACTAAAGTCTTTGAAAATGTAATAAGTTTTACGAAACGCGCTCGTGTCGCGTCAGACTAGAAATAAAAATGAATTTTGGAGAATTGATTTTTGAATTACCTCCAACAGTGAAAAGAAATGTACGAAAGATTGAGAAAATTCGTGTTAGAATTATTAATCTTACTTTTTCGGTCATATTTAATAATATATGTCTACAGGAAAGACTGCTACCAATATATATATATATATATATATATATATGTATATATATATATATATATATATATATATATATATATATATATATATATATATATATATATATATATATATATATATATATATATATATATATATATATATATATATATATATATATGTGTGTGTGTGTGTGTATATATATGTTGTACCGAGTAGCCAGAACGTCGTACTCGGCCTACTATGCAAGGCCGAGTTCAGTTATAAAATGAAAAATGAAAGCTGTTTAAATCATAGCATAGTAAGAACTCTGTGTAGTGTTTGCAGGTAATAGTTGTGTGTGTGTAAACTAAATTTTTTGAAAATGTAATAAGTTATTACGAAACGCGTTCAAGTGTCGCGTCAGACTTGAAATAAGAATGAATTTTGGAGAATTGATTTTTCAATTACCATCAACAGTGAAAAGAAACATAAGAAAGATCGAGAAAATTCGTGTTAGAATTATTAATCTTACTTTTTCAGTCATATTATATATATATATATATATATATATATATATATATATATATATATATATATATATATATATATATATATATATATATATATATATATATATATATATATGTCGTACGTAGTAGCCAGAACGCACTTCTCAGCCTACTATGCAAGGCCCGATTTGCCTAATAAGCCAAGTTTTCATGAATTAATATATTTTCTCAAATTTTTTTCTTATGAAATGATAAAGCTACCCATTTCATTATGTATGAGGTCAATTTTTTGTTATTGGGGTTAAAATTAACGTAGATATATGACTGAACCTAACCAACCCTACCTAACCTAACCTAACCTATCTCTGTAGGTTAGGTTAGGTTAGGTGACCGGAAAAGTTATATATATATATATATATATATATATATATATATATATATATATATATATATATATATATATATATATATATATATATATATATATATATATATATATATATATATGTATATATATAGGAGGGGTACCACCTCTGGTGCAAATGTAGGGACCCATAGCCTCGGAGAAGAAAATAAAGAGTACTCAGAGAAGACCTTGTGGATCCTCACTGAACACTTTGATATTTTCTTCTCCTACCACCCCTATTCTTTTGTTAAGTGTGTATATATGTATATTGATATATATTAAGTGTGTATATTGATATTTTCTTCTCCTACCGCCCCTATTCTTTTGTTAAGTGTGTATATATGTATATATATATATATATATATATATATATATATATATATATATAT